AAAACAATGTATCTATTAGCTATTAAGCATCATTTAATGTACTTTTAGGACTTTAGTAAGCTTAAAACTATTGTATGATCGGTTGTCAGGATGAACACTAATTACTCTAGAAAACACACAAAAATTATTTTATTTTGATAATATGCACAAAAAGATCCAAAGTAGTCTGTCGACAAGTATTGTTAGTAAAAATATGTTATTCAAACACTCCTATTTTGTTAAGACTCACTAGAAAGGTATTTCACTTGACCCATATATTTATTTTTAAGTACTGTGAATTTTTAATGTTATTATATCAACTTGTAGCCTAAATATAAAGCAAACATAAGTTGATGTTTACAGAACAAAGATAGTTGTATGTAAAATTGATGAATAAGATGAATTACAAAATGTAACAACAACAAAAAAAGAGAAGCGAAAGATACCAACAGTACTTAAAATGCCATGCCATGCCAAAAAAAAAGCAACAAACCAACAAAAGACATACAACAGTATACAAAATACAACAAAGAACTAAAAACGGAGTAACACGAACACCACCAAAAGACCGGATTTCATGTGCTTCGGAAGAGTATGCAGATCCTGCTCTACATATGGTACCCGTCATGTTGCTCGTGTTAGTACACACCTGATGATAGTTTTATTCGATAGGTCTCATTCGAGGAAAAGTGGACGAGATTGTGGTTACTACAATTGGAACATATCTGTCATCATCTGTAAACAAAATATTTTATAACGGGCAAGCAACTCATGATGTCGCCCGTAAAACTTTCTAAGGGATTATTTCAATTTCACCACTTGGAACACTTTGTTTTAAAGCTTCCTTGTACGCAGCAGCCCTCTATCAAGGAAATCATAATAAATGCAAGCTCTTAGATATCGTATCAACTGGGAGATATATACACCATATGCAGGTGCTGCTGGAATGTTGCTATATAGAAACGGAAAATTCACAATTGTGAAGCTGAAATTATTTCCTCTGTTGTAAAGTTATTTCTCAACCGACCCTCATGGTCAGTTCATAGGTGTTGGTGGAGATATGGGGTAGACTTAACTGTACCTGTTGCATCATTTATTTCAAGTTCGATGGGATAGATGTGTTCAACATTGTCACCAAACTATGAATTATATAGTTAGGGAACACCAACTATATATAGCGGAACGTGAATGCAAAGGATAATGCTAGCTTTATCACTTATCAGAAAAAAGCTCTTGCATGAATCTATTTCTCATAATAAGTGTGAAATTCACATAAAAAAACAATTCTTTTTTTTCAAGCAATCGCCGCCGACGCTGGATTGTTATCCCTATGTCTCACATTCTGAGACTTTCGACGCAGGCGAGATGAAAATTTCTAGGAAACTAAAGTTTCAACTTCCTCAGGCAAAGTTACCTTAACATGAGTTTGCCTATTCTTTTTAAGTGCCTTTGCTCATATAGCTCCTATTTGTCTGTGTATTTATAATATAGAAACATATCTTTTTATCCGTATTTCATACAAAATATCTGAAACATTTTTTGAAACTCATTTTCAATACTAGTATTATACTGCTCATTCAACACCTTTTTGAATGTTTGACTTTGTAAAATAAAACAAATGAACATTTATTGCTACCATGCAAATTATTTACATTTATATATACACAAAGATATTTGTATGATATTCCATACATGCTGCAATAAATTAAACCATAAATAAATATTGATTTAATTATATGTGCAATGGATATTGTGATACATATTTTTTTTTAATTTACATACAAAATATTTTTTTTTTTAAATGAAATTGACACGCATACATATTTTAATAATATTTCCATGCATGCTGGTTGAAATTAATCCTATAAAAACTCATCAAAGATACCGGGCTTCTGATTTATTACGCCATGCCAGACCTGTATTTGGTCTATATAATAGAATAGAGAAGGAAAACGGGGAATGTGTCAAAGAGACAACGACCCGACTGAAGAGCAGAAAACAGGCCAAAGCCACCAATGGGTCTTCAACGCAGCGAAAAAAACACGCACCAGGAGATGGGCTTAAGCTGTCCCTTTAACAATAATGTATACTAGTTCAAAGACTCATCAGTGGTGCGCGAATAAAAATAGTTGGAATGCCAAATCAAACACGAAGTTGAAGAGCATTGAATACCAAAAATGACAAAGAATTATGCCAAATCCTATTAAGGCTATTAATGTCATGGTGTATAAAACCTTAGTGTTTCGAACAATATGAAACATTTAATCAACACTAAACTTACAGAAAATAACTTCAAACTTTACTAAATTCTTCCATAGATATAAAGATTAGGTTTTGAAGTTTGGTTGTACCTGTAGAAAACTTATTTCAAACTGGATAGCACATCCTCATTTTTACGGAGATGTTGTTTACCGAGCCCGGAAATTTGGAAACGATCCGGGTAAACTTATCGATCCTTTAAATAAATTCTAAAAGGTTACCAATTCAATACTGTAATTAGATCTTTGAATATTGTTTTGTAGGTATTAATATTGATTTTGTTACCAGTTAATTAAAATCAAACTAAATATTATTTTTATGTACATATGCACATTCATAGCTCTACAATCTGTCGATACATGTATCTTGACATTGCACAAGGTCATGTTTTTCTCTTACTGTTTATGACGTCTTTACACTAAATCCATAGGATGTTGGATGTGTACTGATTGATATTTAAGTCTTAGATGCATGATTTTTTTCATAAGTTGTTATTGGCCTTGAACTAGCTGTCAGTAACTGCGAGTACGGACTCTCATATCTGTACTTAGTGTTTTTCTGTTGATTGGACATATAAGTACCCGTCCACGTCCACTCTGTGTTTTTGTTAGATGTATTTCTATTTGTATCCATCTGATGAGTTAAGCCTTTTTCAACTGATTTTTATAGGTTCATATGTTGTACTGTTTCACCACTGTCCCAAGTAAGGGGAGGGGTTGGTGCCTTCAAACGAGTTTAACTCCGCCACATTCTGTATGTGCCTGTCCCAAGTCCGGAGCCTGTAATTCAGTGGTTGTAGTTTGTTGCTGTGTAATATATTTGTTTTTCGTTCATTATTTTGTACATAAATTAGGCCGTTAGTTTTCTCGTTTGAATTGTTTTACGTTTGTCATTTCGGGGCCTTTTATAGCTGACTATGCGGTATGGGTTTTGCTCATTGTTGAAGGCCGTACGTTGACCTATAGTTGTTAATTTCTATGTCAATTGGTCTCTTGTGGAGAGTTGTCTCATTAGCAACCATACCACATCTTCTTATTTCTATGTAAAAAATATTTCAAGCCAGAACATTTGTCTTCCAGCAGTTGCATCGACTCGATACACAGGACTAGTCGGTGGCGCTTAAATAATAAAAGTTCCGATGTTCCACCCGTTGCATATGCCTTAAGGCAATAATTAAATAAAAACGATAGTGTTTGTTGTAACTATCTTAGCTAAGTGTTGGCATAAGTGCGCTTACAATTCAATTTTTCATAAAATCAATAATTCCATGGGGCATAACTCTTTTTAAAATAGTTCATCGGCAATGACTTTCAAATTTGTTCGCGACATTGCTGATATAAACCTTTTATTCAAATTTCATAAATATCTGGCAAGAATTGTACATGTAAGAGCGCTTACAATGCAATTTTCCATAGAGTTTACATTTCTAATGGCGCATTATTGGTAGTACTACATAAACATAAATAAAAGATAATTGATCAGTGCCGATTTTCGAACTTTTCCGAGACATAATTGATATAAACTTCCATATAAACTCTACACGTGAGAGCCCTCGCAATTTCCCATCAAGTTAATATTCCTAAGGGGATAACTCTTTTGAAAATAGTTGATCGGGACTCATTTTCAAATTTCTCCGAGTTCTTACTGAAATAAGCTTAAAATATAAATTTCATAAAAATCTAGCAAGAATTGTACACATGAGAGCGGTTACAAGACCGGGCGGACGGTAAGACGGACATACGGAAGGACGCCCGGTATTCTATATGCCAAGCAACGAGTCACGCGGGCGGACAAAAACAGTTGTAAAGCCAAGTGAACAAGCGTTCTGAGAGTATTGCATAGCAATACATAGTCCCTATCGGTAAAAAATTCATTGTACTGGAACAAAATGCTAACTTGTCATGATAAAACTATATACAAATTATCAAATCAATATCTTCATGCATGACGAAAAAAAGTGCGAAAAACTGATTATTTGAGTGAATTTTCTATGTCCAAGGACCATAACTCTGCACAAAATCATCAGAACGGAATAAAATTCGAACTTGATCTGTAACTTGTCATGATAAAACTATATACCAAATATCAAATCAATATCTTCAAGCACGAAGAAAAAAAGTGTGGAAAACTGATATGTCGGACTGACGGATGGACAGACAGACAGACAGACAGACAGACAGACAGACAGTCAAACGGACGGAGTGCAAACTTAAAGTCCCCTTCGACTTCGTCGGGAGGGGCGTGATAAAAAAGTCGAAAGGCATTAGAAAAAAAAATATTCCAGAACGTTGTTCCGAATCTTGCTAAGGTTATATTTGCCTGTAGGTAGAAAACCTTTTTAATCCTAGTATCTATGATGAGTTTATTTAGTGTTTCGAAATAAAACAAATTATCAACAGTAAATTTTAAAAATTAAAAGAATGATAAAATGTTATATACAATGATTTCTGTGATACATACCATTCTGTCTTTCCATATAAATCATTTCAATGTGATTTAATACATGGATATTTTTACAATATTACATAAACGAAGCAATACATGCATAGCATAAACGAAGCAATACATGAATATAAATCATTTCAATGTTTATTCATACACGGATATTTTAATCATATTACATAAACGAAGCAATACGTACATACCATAAACGAAGCAATACATGAATACCATAAATGAAGCAATAAATAAATTCCATAAATGAAGCAATAAATAAATCTCATAAATGAATGAATGATAAAATGTTATATATCAATTGTTATTGTAATGCACACGCATTTTGATCACACAGTTTAACACCTTTGATTTTTAATATGGTTCTGAAATCTCAGTATATGTTTTTAAAACAAAAATTACTCATTAAACATTTACTGTAGATTGACAAGAAATTTTCAACAACTGACTATGAGAGATCCTTTATATTGAAAATCCTGCTTTTTCATTAATAGCAGTAAAGGTACAATTGGATGTGCTTTTGTATTTTTAGTTTCAAATATAACAATTTATTGACAAAAACGTACCGTCCGCAATTTCGTTGTCAAAGGTTTAAAAATTATGTATAAATTATTCATATTTAGAGAAAAGCAAATAAATTTTGTAATTGTATGTTTATGAGTAAAAGTATTTTGTGTTTATAGCAATCTATTCTATTAAAATCTGCTTTTCAAATGCATCATGTATTTATGCCTGGGTACAAATAAAAATGAGATTGGACAATGATTGATGTACTTTCAGCGTCCTTTACAATTATATATAAGTATATATAATACTTATCAATGCAACGATGATCGATAATACACATGCTATTTCAGTATTTCAGACAAATAAAACATCAAATACTATCTGTATCGTAATTGTAGTCAAATCCATTATCGCGATCCACTCGTTTGATGGAAATCCATCTTTTTCCCTCTGTATGTGTTTTTTCATCTTTGGGGTATGTCAAACGTTTGATAAATGGGTATTTTGTTTCATCACTAAGAATTTGAATATTCTGGCTATAATTAGATTTAACTGATTCAGATCTGTTAACATGGTTTAACACAGGAGAGTCCGTTCTGTTCAACTGTTTTTCATTACGTACACAAAATTCATATTTGAGTGCTGCGAAAAAACAAAACAAAGCCATGGAAATTATAGTTCCGATAACTCCGATACCTATTACAACTCCAATCAGTATGTCCTTGCCGTTGGAACTTGAATTTGAATCATCTGAAATATGGACAAAATTGTTAAATATAATGTTTATCAAATACAAAATCAGAAACTGAAAAAGATATTATTGAATACGCTTTTTACAATGATAAACTGAAACAACTAACAATAAAGAATTCAAAGTAAGTAAGACCAGAAAATAATTTAAATGGAGCTGAGTTTGTTCAGTTACATGTATTCCTCGTATTGTGTAAAAAGTTGAAGATATTTAAGGGGGTTCGCGTTGGTAACACCAACATTTTCCTTAAATTTACACCATCGAAAGGGTTAGCGTCCATGCATCATCTGCTAAAGTCTTGTTAAAACTCACCGTTGCATTTTATGTTGGGGATTTATTGAATATGACCAGTTTTAGGGAACCCTTAAACACAGTCGAAAACACTAGTAGGCATATATTATTGTATTTTCCCCATGTTCTCAATAGACATATAAATAACTGTTAAAATGCGTAGGAGAAAGATGTAAGTAAATCTGAAATTTCATGTTAATATCTATAGCCTGAATGTAAATTAATGGTTTAAAATTATTGAGCAAGTCGAAAATTCTGGCACTCTCAGATTCATAACATTTGTTTGAGGCAAACTTAAGTTAGAGTACTGAAACGAAAAATTCAGCAATTTTTCCATTCGTAAAGGGGCATAACTATAGAACAGTAAAAGTGACGCCATCAAAAATCAAATTTGATCTGTGTTTTGTGTTTTGTGGTAATAAGCATTGTGCATAACTTTCATAACATTTTGTTGAGGCAAACTAAAGTTAGAGAACGAAAACGAAAAATTCAGCAATTTTTCCATTTGTAAAGGGGCATATAACTCTAGAACGGTAAAGGTAACGCCACCAAAATTCAAACTTGATCTGTGTTCTGTGGCAATAAGCTTTGTGTATAAGTTTATTAAACTAAAAAGGAAACAAAAAATTCAGTAATTTTTCCATTTGTAAAGGGGCATAAAACAGTATCCGGGACAAGTTTGCAATTCCGCTGAGTGCACAAAAGTTGTCACCTTAATTTTTGGAGGTAGGTCAAAATGAAGTTGATAACTTGGTTGGTATTGGTTCCCTGGTATTTGTCCTAAAACAATTTGGCTCTAGCACCACTGTTAAAAAGTTATGCCCCTTTTTTATAAATTTCCTCAGAGGATTTTGCCTCAAAGGAATTTTTTTCTTTCTCAAAGGAAAAAGATTTCCCTTAAGAAATTTGCTGCATAAGTTTTTCTTTTGAGGAAATTCTATTTTCTTTGAGGAAACTTTGTCAATTATAAAATTGAAAATGGAAATGGGGAATGTGTCAAAGAGACAACAACCCGACCATAGAACAGACAACAGCAGAAGGTCACCAACAGGTCTTCAATGCAGCGAGAAATTCCCGCACCCGGAGGCGTCCTTCAGCTGGCCCCTAAACAAATATATATACTAGTTCAGTGATAATGAACGCCATACTAAACTCCAAATTGTACACAAGAAACTAAAATTAAAAATAATACAAGACTAACAAAGGCTAGAGGCTCCTGACTTGGGACAGGCGCAAAAATGCGGCGGGGTTAAACATGTTTATGAGATCTCAACCCTCCCCCTATACCTCTAGCCAATGTAGAAAAGTAAACGCATAACAATACGCACATTAAAATTCAGTTCAAGAGAAGTCCGAGTCTGATGTCAGAAGATGTAACCAAAGAAAATAAACAAAATGACAATGATACATAAATAACAACAGACTACTAGCAGTTAACTGACATGCAAGCTCCAGACTTCAATTAAACTGATTGAAAGATTATGTCTTCATCATATGAATATCAGGCACAATCCTTCCCGTTAGGGGTTTAGTATCATACCATCATAACATATATGAGAAGAACATAACCCGTGTCATGCCAACAACTGGTTTTTAAATAAATGTGTTTAGTTCCGATGCAAAGACCCTATAAGTGAATCAATATTAACGCCAAAATATGCAATCTTTAATGACCTGACAACAGTATCGTAACTATATCCCTTCTTAATAAGTCTATTTAAAGGTTTTGTTAGCTTCAGAGGTGAATACTGACATTTTTGTGCTTTATAAAGAATATTTCCATAAAAAATTGGATTTGAAATACCTGAACGTATAAGAAGTCTGCATGTTGAGCTATATTTACGAATGATGTCCTTATACCGATGATAAAATTTAGTAAATGTTTTGACTAGTTTGTGATATCGAAAACCCTGGTGTAATAATTTTTCAGTAATACATAAATTTCTCTCGTTAAAATCTAAAACATTGTTACATACACGAGCGAATCGAACAAGTTCAGATATATAAACACCGTAAGATGGTGACAAGGGAACGTCACCATCTAAAAATGGATAATTTACAATAGGAAATGAAAAATCATCTCTTTTATCATATATTTTAGTATTAAGCTTTCCGTTAATGATATAGATATCTAGATCGAGGAAAGGGCAGTGGTCATTGTTAGTATTAGCTTTATTTAAAGTAAGTTCAACAAGATAAATTTCTTTAGTATACATACTGAATTCGTCATTATTGAGAGCCAAAATATCATCCAAATATCTAAAAGTATTATTGAATTTGTGTATCAGATGTTGTTTCGATGGGTCTTTGCTGATTTTTGTCATAAATTGTAACTCATGGCAATACAAAAAAGGTCCGCAATAAGTGGTGCACAGTTAGTCCCCATTGGAATTCCGATAACCTGACGATATACGGAATCTCCAAAGCGAACAAAAATGTTATCTAGTAAAAATTCAAGGGCATATATAGTATCAAAGCATGTCCAATTGACATTGTTTTTTTGTTTATTGCTACTAAAAAATGACCTAAAAGAGTTTGAACATATATATTCACATTCTGACTTTTTAAATGCCCATTTAAGGTAGCACTACAGTCAGAATTTTCTGACTCCAACCAACAGTCTTTAAAGATTAATATCTCCAAAACTACTCAATGGATTTTTAAAATCTTTAACTCATTTTAAAGCTTAAATATTATTCTTTCTTAATCCATAGATACATTTATTTTTGGTATGATAAATCTCAAAATATAGCTCATTAATTGCCAAAAAAGTGGTCTTCCAACTTGGATGGAAATGGCACATTCAGATCAAATGGTAGTAAAAATTTGTTTTCATCCCTTTAATCAACCATATACAAACAGCAAAACCGTGTCTCAGATTTTTGATATATGCCTCCAGTAAGAAGATATAATGATTTAACTGCTGGGTGCCAAACCTCATTTCACCTTTCATCTTTGGAGACCTATAAATTCATTTAGAAACAAATTATCCAAAAACTGGGACACGGTATTGTAGAAAATACTCCCTTTAATCACATATAACAAAGTCAAGCCAAAGGGGGTACCCATAAAGTTTATATTTTCATTTTTTCCTAACAAATCTCATGAAAAATTGTTCTGAGAAATGACCTAAAAATGGAATTTCCCCCTTAGAACCCCTATAAATGCAACATAAATACAAAAATTCCACTGGGAACACCCCAGGAGTATTCTGACACCATTACTTTATTAATAGAACCACACACTTTGTCTCTTTGATGCTCTTATGCTGTAAATTTTGCATTATGTGTGGCACTGTGCAACACTAACTTGGCATTTGGCGGGAGTTTGACGTCACAGATTTGACCAATATCTGTGATGTAGTAATTAAATATAGACAAAGCTCCGCCTCTGTCCAGACAGTCTAAGATAACAGAATAACAGGATTGACCAGCTGCATATAATCAATATTTAACATCATTTTTCTCACTATAAAGAATAAATTTCATTTGTATTTTAAAAAGAAATATACTATTACTGAAATTTAAGCTAGAACATTAAAATTGTGCATCAAAAGACATGTTAATAAAAAGATCCAAGACCATCCACTTCTGTAAAAAAAGACACTCCCACATGATTTTTGAGTTTTATGGAATTGAAAAATTTCACCTAAACTTAAAATTGGTTAAAATGCCTAAAACTGTATTTAAATGTTGAAGACCAAATAGAAGAAATTTATACAGGCAGTCAGAGGCTTTCAAAGATACTTTCACACTCTTTTCCATATTTTTTTTTTAATTTTTTGTAGATTTCTTCCCTTTAGATTTTTTCCTTCATATCTTTTTCTTTTTCTCTGTTTATAAACATGTTATATAAATTACTTTTGTTGCAATACAATGAGATAAAACAGGGATTAACAGCTGGACACTGGTATCAACAGATGATTGACATATTAGCCCCTCCCAAATGCCTACATATTTAGATTAATTACCTTGTGCTTTTATTTACATAAGTTCATTATCAATTTACTCCCTGTTGTGATATGATAATGACTTTGGGATTTTTACAAACTGTGCAGAATAATACTTAATTCAAAATTATGTGATAAAAAAAATATCTTCAAAAAATCATTGTTAGACTGTAGTGCTACCTTAATTAGGTTTGTGAATTTTTTTCTTAATGAGAATGTGAGGCAATGTGGTATATAGGGTAGAAAAATCAAAACTTTGAACAGATTCAAAATCACCAATATATGCATGCAATTTATCAAGTACTACGAGTTCTTGACACTCCAAAAGTAATTAATTCCACTATTTTCGAAGGCCTTATATGAACAATTTATTATCTGGTTTTTGATTGTACCAAGTGTACTGGTAAGAAGAATAGACAATTTAGTAGTGGCACAATGGCTTGAAGACGAAATGAATCTATATTTGTAAGGTGTTTTGTGTAGCTTCGGAAGCCAATACAAAGTTGGGACTTTCATTGTATTTGGTTCTGCTTGTAAAGCGGTAGCTAAAAGTTTATGTTTGTTACAGATGTCGTTTTCTGAAAATGGAGTCAGTTGGAATGTTGGTGAATTGGTGATTTCTTTTTTCAGAACCTCAATGTAAAATTTACGTCAAACAATAATAATATTATTAGCAGCTTTATCGGCCGGGACAAAAACAAATTCCTTGGCTAGTTCTTTTAGTTTATGTTTGATACGAGAAATAGGTTTATTGTGGTT